CTGAGGCGTCCCCAGTGCTGAAAATGGTGGGGTTTTAGGGTTTTAAGATTCTTTTTTTTATTTAAGATGCAGATTTGCAGAGAGAGAGAGAGATCTTCCACCTGCTGGTTCATTCCCCAAATGGCTACAGCAACAAGGGCTGCGCCAGGATGAAGCCATTAACTATGCATGTGCACACCACACACTTGCACAGTACACATACACATGTGAACCTACATGCACACAGAACACACACATACACACACACTAACATCACCGTCACGGTCCACACAGGTGATCTTATTCCAGGAAGGGGGTGGCCTGCCTGCTGTGGTCCACAGGGAAAACAGAAGCAGTAACCACACCCTGGAGCCACCAGGGTGGGCATAACTCTGACGCTGGGGCTCTGAGCAGAGTCCAGGTGCAGCAATGTGCTCTGCCCCTCCCCGCCTTCAGGAAATGGAGTCCTGGGGCCCTAATGGGCAGCTGCGAGGACTGGGTTTCACATTGGTTTTTGCAGGAATGTGTGGAACCCCTTGGCACTGAGAACGTTCCTGGTCCCAGGTGGGTCTGGGCCAGGAGGAAGACTCCCTGACCAGGCCAGCTCTGACTCTTGCTCAGGACCTGCATGGCTGTGTCTCCTCCAGTGCAAGACACAAACACATCCAGAGAGAGGGAACAAGAGGCCAGGGCCAGCGCACTGAGGACAGGCCTCTGCCTGGGACCATGGCCTGGCCCTTCAGGGTCTCCGACACTCACCAGGATGAAAGCAGCCATGGGGTGTGGGTGGAGACTTAGGGTCCTGGGTTCTCCAGTGCCGGTACCAGCATGGCCCTGCGTCCTCTCCAAGGTGAGCATCACAAGGAGATTGGCGGGGGGGAGGCAGCCCCTTAATCTGGGCCCTTTTGGACATCTGCAGTCACCTGTGTCCAGGACAGGTGCTGGTGTCCTTTCCGCTTTGCTGGGTCCCTTCTCTGGGTGCATTTCTGAGTGGAGCCCACGGACCCCTGAGCCCACTGCCCCCTCCTCAGCAGCCCTCCACTAGGGCCAGCGACCCGCCTGCTGCTCAGGCTCACTGAGGGGGTCTGTCCCACACACCCCCCAGCCCATGCCAGTTGAACCATGTGCAGGAAGGGCCTGTGGGCTGAAGTATGCATCCGTGCACAGCCCATTCAGAGTTCACTTCTGGACTGAGTGTGTGTGCGCTGCATATGTGTGACTGCAGAGCTCAGAGCCAGGCTACAACTGGCTGCATGTAAAACAAACTCAGGAGCTCCAGAGGGGACAGTGTTCCAGAAGCTGCATTCAAAACTCCATAGGGAATAGGAGGGACCTGGGCTCCTCTTCCTTTAAGCGTACTTCAGGGCACCCACGCTCAGCAGCTGCCCCAGTGTCCACCAGCTCCTGAGGCCATCGCCTGTCCTCTGGCAGCTCCCAGCCTCTAGCGCCCAGCAGGTTCCTAAGGGTGGGGCCCACATGCTTGCAGGGTACATACCTATCAGTGAAGGAGCCCGTGATCTGAGGCCACAAATGCCAAACCAACCGTGAAACACTGTGGGCGAGGACAGGTTAGGGAGGCCCATGGCTACCTTAGCTGGCTCCTGGACACCAGTGACCACCTCTCTCCCTGCAGGGATTCTCACCCCCAACTCCACACCCCTGGACCCCCTCAGCCAAGGCTTCGACCAGCGTTCTTCATAGAAATGGTCCAGGCGAGCTAGTAGACACTTCACTGACCTTGCTGAGGATGGCCCACAGAAGTGCAAGTCCTGGGACGCGGGGTGTTTCTTCCCACTTGAAAAGCTAGAGATTGCGGCCAGGGGTATGGCGGCCCATGGTCTGCAGGATGCCAGGGGTCAGCAGGATCGTCGGGCCACACTAGAGCCTGGCTCTGAGTCCCACAGCTTTGTCGAGGATGAGGCCCCGACCATGAAAAAAGCTCCCCCAGCAGAGAACGGGAACAAACATTCCTGGGGAGAAACCAGGTTTTGCAGGGGCCAGCCAGGCAATGGGCAGGTGGGGCAGGGATACAGAGGCTACAGGGGTTGGGGCTACGTGTCTCCCTTCTGTGGCTTCTGTCTCCCTCTAACTGTGCCCCTTCCCCCACTGTGGTTGTGGAAGCTCCCCAGGAGGGCCTGGCCTCGCGACAGATGCACCAGGGACCCCCAGCAGCCCAGATCCTGCAAGGCAACTTCCCACAACACAACACAGTCCCAGTTGCTGACTCTGGAGGTTTCAACGGTTGGGTTGTGGGTGGCAGAACCTGCTGTCCCTCTTGGCACTGGGTCCGTGTATATGAGCCCCTCCCCCAAAGTCACTGAGGGGCAGAGACCTGGGTGGGACCCCTTGGGGTGGGGAGGGAGAAATGGTTCCAAGAGGGTGGGGGGGTGTGGCCTGGCACTGGAGGTACTCTAGTGGCCGGGCACGGTGACTCTTGGGCAGGTGCCTGTCCATGGGCAGTTTGCTCCACTGCCCACTGCTCCAATTGTTCTAGGCCCTTCCCTTGGCACTGGGCCAGTGTGGAGCCGAGGCCAGCATTGATGTTCAATCTGCCTAGACTCTAATAATTTGAAGGATTTCATTTTCTAAGAATTTTTTCTTTATTTATTAAGAAGGAGGGAGCGAGAGCGCATGCTTCCTCCTAGGTGTCTGAAGTTGCTGGAGCCCCAGGATGAAGCTGGAAACCAGAGTGGAGCCTGGATGGAAACCCCAGGTCTCATCCTGGTGCTCTCGCTGCTGGGCCCAAAGATTGCCCAAGCAGTTTACACACACTGCATCATGGGTCTAATTAAATGCATCATGGGTCTACTCATGTGTATGAAAATAGGGAAGTAGAGTTTAGAATACCTTGGCAACTGAAACATCATACTGTCCTTAGCTAAGATCTTAGATAACATAAAAGATTTGGGCAAGGTTCATCTGCCAGTGTCCTTGTCCCACTGTGGTATGTTCAATTTGTCATCGTTTTCTGGTGACTGTCAATTGAGGGTAAAGCCCACAGCACTGACCTCTTACCCAGCCTGAGGAAGACCTGCGAGCAGAAAAGGGGCAGCTCTGTTGTGACTGATTTGAAGGAATGCTGTACACTTACTCATCCCTGCTCTGGGGTTAGTTTAAAACTAGGTTCCATTGGTCATGAGCCCTGTAAGAGCCCATCTACACCTGCCACCCCGTGATGGGCTGGGAAGTGGACCAATGTGGAGAGAGTGGCCAGTGCACAAGAGCGAGTGTGCTCCACACGTGGCTCACAGTCCCACTGAGGGCAATGACCTCACCTGCACAGAATGTTGGCACAGGCCAGACTTCTGTGATGTCATCCTCCGTGGCAGTTATTAGGCCTTGCTGCCAGCACAGTGGCACAGGGACAGGCGCCGAGGGCAGGGACAGAGCAGGGAGAGCAGGTCTGTGGGGAGAGGGCCTGGGGAGCAAGGGAGTGGTGGACATGGGTGAGGCAAGGGAGAAGGCAGGATGGGGGTATGGGCACAGGCAGGGTAATGGAGGATGGGGACAAACAGAGTGGTTCAGGGGTGGGCCAGGGTGGGCCGAGGGAGGGCGAGGGAGGGCCGAGGGAGGGAGAGGGTGGGTGAGGGTGGGCCGAGGGAGGCGAGGGTGGGTGAGGGTGGGCCGAGGGAGGGTGAAGGTGGGCGAGGGTGGGCGAGGGAGGGCGAGGGAGGCCGAGGGGCGAGGGAGGGCGAGGGAGGGCGAGGGAGGGCGAGGGTGGGCCGAGGGAGGGCGAGGGAGGCGAGGGAGGCCGAGGGTGGGGAGGGGGGCGAGGGAGGGCGAGGGAGGGCGAGGTGGGCGAGGGAGGGCGAGGGAGGGCGAGGGTGGGCGAGGGTGGGCCGAGGGAGGGCGAGGGTGGGGAGGGTGGGGAGGGAGGGCGAGGGTGGGCGAGGGAGGGCGAGGGTGGGCCGAGGGTGGGCGAGGGAGGGCGAGGGTGGGCCGAGGGAGGGCGAGGGAGGGCGAGGGAGGGCCGAGGTGGGCCGAGGGAGGGCGAGGGGGGCGAGGGTGGGCGAGGGTGGGCGAGGGAGGGCCGAGGGGGGCGAGGGTGGGCGAGGGAGGGCGAGGGTGGGCCGAGGGAGGGCGAGGGTGGGCGAGGGTGGGCCGAGGGAGGGCGAGGGTGGGCCGAGGGTGGGCGAGGGAGGGCGAGGGTGGGCCGAGGGTGGGCCGAGGGAGGCTGAGCATGGGCTTCTTGTGGAATTGGGAGGGAGAAGGGGAACACGGGGTGATGGTGGTGGCAGGCATGGAATGGGGCACTGGATCCAGGACAATGGGGAGAGCAGTGGAAGAGGAGACTGGGGGGGCAATGGGGGGCTCTCTGTAGCATTCATGCTGCACCATGGGTACGTGGGGAGAGTGTTGGGTATTTCTCAACCCAACCTGGCCTTCCCTCCCTTGTGAAATGGCAAGGGTTTGAATCCCTGGAACCAGATCCAACTCATTGCCTGTGTTTATAAATAAAGGTTCCACATTGATCTGAAAACTACCATGTGGTGTGTAATTTTTCCACAAAGATTTATGCATTGGAAACAGAAATGAGCAAAAGAGGTGGTGACAGAGAGGTCTTCCTTCCTCTGGTTTCACTTCCCACAGGACCCCAACAGTCAGGTAGGGGCCAGGATGGAGCCTGGAGCAGGGAACTCCTACTACTCTCCTAAATGGGTGGTAGGGCCAAAGTACTTGGGCCTGGATCTGCTGTATTCCTAGGCACACAAGCAGAAGACTGGATGGGAAGTGGAGCAGCTGAGACTTGAAATAGTGCTCCAACATGGGAGCTTAGCTGAGCAGAAGCTCCAAAAAGGTTGGCTCCCTTGTGAAGTGTCAGTGAATGTAAGAGTTTGCACACCCTAGGGATGGAAGGTGGTGTTCCATCTGCTAGTTCACGTGCACACCACACTGGGTACTACTGCCTGAGACAGTGTTGGGACCCCCACAGGCATACATAAAATCTTTGGCACCTCCCCTTGCCAGCTGAGGGAGGCCTGGTTTTGAGTGGAGAGCTTCACTGAAGAGGGCCGACTCACCTCGTGGGACTAGAGATGGGAGGGGAGGTCCTGAGCCCCGCCAGATCCTAGGCTGTGTCCGGTGCTGAAGGAGGCTCATGTCTGGCTTTCCCCAGCAATGTGTCCGACGGCTATGAAACAAGACAAAACCAACAACCTTTAAGGCCTCTGGGAATCCACCAAAAAAACCCCAAACCAACCAACCACAAAACAGACAGCACTGATTGATGGAGAATTGCTGACTGCCCAGGAAAGAAGAGTGGGAGAAGGTGGTATGCTGGCCTGGAGCTGTGTCCCTTTCCTCCCCACCCTGAGCTTGTGGTGCTACCAGGGTGGGTAAAGGTGTCTATCAAAACCAGCAGTTTGGTTTGTTGGACATGGTGCTGAGGGGAGAGCAAGGAACCCATGCTCAAGTCCTCACCAGTAAAAAGAGCAAACTTCACAGGACAGAATGCAGGAAAGTGGCAGTCCTGCTGGCCAAAGGTTAGAGGCCCTTTGGGCCAGGGGAAGACCAGTGTGCCAAACAATTTTTTTATTTTTTTTATGATTAGGTATTTATTTGAAAGCCCAAGATACAGAGACTGTGACATAGAGAGATCTTCCATCCAACTGGTTTACTCCCCAGGTGGTTGCATCAACCACTATGGGACCAGGCCAAAGCCGGGAGTCAGGAGTCAGGAGTCGAGACTTCCCGGTCTCCCATGAGGGTGGCAGGGCCCCAAGCACTTGTTCCATCTGCCACTGCTTTCCCCAGGACATTCGAGAGAATCCTGATCAGAAGTGGAACAGCCTGGATACAAACCAGTACCCATATGGGATGCTGGCATTACAAAAGGTGACTGAACCTACTATGCTACAACACTGGCCCCCAATTTTTTTATTGATTGGAAAGGCAGGGACACACAAAAGAGAAAAAGACAGATGGGGAGAACGTCCATCCTTGTTTAGCCCTCCAAATAGGTACAACATCCATGGCTGGGCCAGGCAGAAGCCAGGACCCAGGCATTCAACCTGGGTCCATGTGGGTGGCAAGGACCCAACAACTTGAGCCACTACCTGTTGTCTCCCAGGGTGGGTATTACAGGAAACTGGAACTGGAAGGAGAGCTGGGACTTGAACTCAGGTCCTCTGTTATGGGATGGGAGCGTCCCAACAGGTGGTGTCATCGCTGTGCCACACACCCTCCCCCAGAGAGAAGTTTACCAGGAGAATCCTGGATGCCATGGTTGGGCTAGACTGAACTCAGCAACCAGGAGCTTCATTCACATCTCCCACGTGGAAAGCAGAGAAGATGGCCCATGTCTTTGGGCCTCTGAATCCAACTGGGATACCTGGGGGAAGCTCTCTGAGCCATGGCGTGCAGAAGATCTGCTCCACCCATCCATGGAGAGAGAGCCATGTTCCCAGAACCAGCTCTCTGTGGCTGCTCCACCTTGGGTTTTGAGCCCCTGAGCCTCTGATATGTTGAGTGCCTGGGAGTACCTCACAGTTTTACCTGGGTACACAGCCCCCATCAATCCTCCCAGCCAGACTCAAGGTCAGTGGGGAACAGGGACTTTGCTCTCTGGCAATATCCCTGGATCCCACACGTGCACCAAGAGTCACTCGCCACAGCCCCTCCTTGTTTCACAATGGCACCTTCTCCCCACCATCCTCCAGCTGAACTGCCAGCTGCTGGGCACATGCCCGAGACCTGCTCAGCTGCTACTTACACCCATAATTCCACCTGCCCTCTCTCAGCCACCTGTTTGTGGGGAAACGGGGAGAGGGAAATGTGCCCCTTTGTCCCACTGGGTAAGTGGATGCCCTGTCGCAATCAGGACTCCAGGCCGCATTCACAGACAGCGCAGTCGACCAGGCTCTCCCTCCAGCTAGATCCCAGTGTCACAGGGTTTCTGCACTCTGATCTCACTCACTCTCCAAAGCTGATGCAGTCTCCTGCTCTCAGCTCCTGGGGTCATGTGCTGTGTCTGTGCTTGCTGCTTTGCGTCCACGTGGGCCTTCCACCATGATCCACGGTGTCCTTCTTCCTTCCTCAGCACTTCCTGTAGTTTGCTCTCCAAGTCTCCCCTAAGAATATACTTCATCCACTTTTTTTTTTTGCTGTTTTCCCCTAGCCTAAAGCAGTACACCCCTTCCCCATTCTGCTCTTTTGGAATCTCCAAGATGCTTTACTTTAAAATGGCTATGCCTCATGAACGGGCATAGCAACACAGCAGAACACAATTTATTGTTTAGAGGTCTGGCATAAGCAAATTCAGTTCAGAGTACTAATGTTAGATTTCGTGGCATTTATTCTCACTAGTTAATTTTCAGAAGGTCTTACTAACAGTAAGGAATTCCTTTGGGAAATTTAGCAGTTTCCTTGCTGAAAACCACTGGGTTACATTGTTTGGGAGTGGAACATTGTGCCCTCCTTAGAACATTAGTGAAGGCCTTGATAGTCACTCTTTGGCAAACAACTCTGCTGCTGAAAATACAAAGGGAGAGACAGGAGTGACATTTGCATTTTGATTTAGATAGTACTTTGTTCTCAACTATTTATGGTCTCCTTTCCTCTTCAGAATGCACTTGTACACACACACACACACACACACACACACACATTCCTCTGATATAAAGTAGTCTGTACAGAGAATCGAGCCAATTAACTGAGACGTGAGCAATGTAGAGAGTAGAGTGTAAGGAGAGAAAAATTCACTGCTCTACAATTATATCAAACACGATGAAGATTCACTGCCGGTCTGATGTCTGTTTTAGGGGATCATATGATAACAGCTTTTCCCCTTCTGGTTTTCCATTTAGCTGTGCTTTTAGATTTTTTTTTCATGTTTTTGGTAATCTTCCTTTAAATATCTGTACAAGAGTTAACATTGCAATGTGGCATTGCTACCAGTACTCCACTATGTGATACTTATTTTAACACCTTTGATAGTCTGAGAAAATTTGATGGGTTAGTTTTTTCTGGAGCAATTCCTTTACTTCACTTATTTAACCCATTGCTTTGGTAATGCTGTTTATGAGGAGTTGCCTTCACTTCTTGCTCCTGGTATCACGACTATCATGAATATTCTGCTTTCTGACTCCTGGCAGCTCAGGTGAGATGACTCAGCCTTTTGAAAGCCTTACTCAGCAGATGCACTCCCTAGAATATTTTCTGACTTCTTTCAAAATATTTTAACCAAAAAAAAGATTTGAAGGCAAAATGAGAAAAGGTTGAAATAAGTTATATACATATATTGCATATCTTATCTTTGTTTTTCAAATTTATTTCTGTAGTGGAATATAAGCACTCTAAGGGCTAAGCCATGCATATACTACAATAAACATTTATGGAATGTGGTATTTATTTTCAAAAGCCTCAACAAAAAGCAGCAGTAAAGCTGAAATATCATATGTTGAGAATAATATAATAATACCAATATCCAAAATGTTTAGAATGATGCAATTATTGTTTCTGACTACAGATTTCCTGATATGATCATGGTATATAGTTAGCATTAGACCAAGAATTTATTGCCTCATAAAAACAACATTAAATAATTTATTTTGTGTGAATTAGAATTCTAAGACATAAAAATGAGAATTAAACCTTGATTCAAGAAATTTTTGAAAAGTGCATTGAAGGATCATAGGCAGCATACAAAAGAACCCCTGAAGAAGATAGTGAACCACAACCAGGAGCAAGACACAAAGAGAGTCCTCTGTGTGGCTGAGATTCTAAACTACAACTTGTCCCCAGATCTGATCTTTCTGATTTGCTTACCGAAGGCTCCCACTGTCACTGATGCAGGCTTTTGGTGTCACTATCAGTACCAGTGCAGGCACTGCTGCCTGTGAAAGCTCAGTGACCTTACAACTGCTGAAGTCACTGCAGAAATGACAACTTAGCAGCTTCTTTCCAGCTGAGGGCAGCTGTCTGTGTTTGGCTACACTGACAGCATATGTCTACCCTAGGGGTAATACACACCAGGAAATCATGTATTTGGCATATTCTACTTCTTCTTGGCAACAATTCCAAAACTGGAAAACAACGTTGCACCCAATATAAAAGATGTTACACCCTCTGCACATTCACCCAGCATTCTGTAATATCATTTGTAAAAGTCTTATTTTTTGAAAGGCAGAGAAAGAGTGAAGGGGGGGTCCCCTATCCCTGGTTCACTCCCCAGATGGCTGCAATGGCAGAGCTGGCGCTGATCCGAAGCCAAGAACCAGGAGCTTCCTCCAGGTCTCCCACGCTGGGTCAGAGGCTCAAGCACTTTGGCCATCTTCTACTGCCTTCCCAGGCCATAGCAGAGGGCTGGATCAGAAGTGAGCAGCCAGGACTCAAACCTGTGCCCATATGGGATGCTGGTACTCCAGGTGGCAGCTATACCTGTACATCACAGCGCCGTCCCCAATATCTTCTGAACTCTAGTTGGCCCCATAATAGTATTCTTGACCAGTAAGGTGCACCTGGAAATGAGCTGAACATTGGTCCAAATACTTAGGTGCTACCACTCACATTATAACTTGGATGGAGTTCCAGGCTCCTGACTCCATCAGGGATTACAGCCATTCTGTTAGTGAACCAGAGAAGATCTCTTTTCCCACTATGTCTCTTTGTCTCTCCCTCTTCTCTGTCACTCTGCCTTTTAAATAATAATATAAAATGGCCAACAAACACTTGAAAAATACTTAGGATCACTAATCATTAGGGAAATGAAAATCAAAACCACAATGAGGTTTCATGTCACTCCACATAGAATGGCACTCACACAGAAATCAACAAATAACAGAGGTCTGGTGAGTGTATGGTGAAAAAGATACTCTGTCCACTGTTGGTGGGAATGCAAACAGGGGCAGCCACTGTGGAAGACAGTATGGAGATACCTCTATAGACCTACCCTATGATCCAGCCACCCCACTGCTGCAAATTGTCTTCAAACAGTACTTTATATACGTTTTGTGTCTGTGTGGGTGCTTTGTGTCTGTATGGGTGCAAACTGTTGAAATCTTTACTTAGTATAGACTTGGTATTCTATATAAAAATAATTAAAAATGAATCCTAATGAAGAATGGGATGGGAGGAGTAAGAGGTGGGACGGGAGTTGGGGTGGGAGGGTGGCTCTGGGGGGGGAAGAACCACTATATTCCTAAAGCTGTACCTATGAAATTTGTATTAATTAAATAAAAGCTAAAAAATTAAGAGTGGGAATGGAATAGGAAGAAGGGTTAGAGCATGGGTGGGAGGGAGGATAGGGTAGCAAGTATCACGGTGTTCCTAAATCTGTATATATGAAATACATGAAACTTGTATAACTTAAATAAATTAAAAAATAAGTGATTCCAGATCTGCAAAAAGAAAATAAACAATACAAGAAAGCAGAACACATTATAATCTTAGTGTCCCATTAACAGACAGTGTCAACTACCAGTCTTCTGAGTGAGCCCAAACACCAGTAGTCTCAACTGACATCATCATAACCCCCTGAGGTCACAGACAGGAACTGATCACGGAGTCCAGAAAGCTCACTAAATCCACTAAGACAGAGAGTGCAGAACAAACTATTCCTGGGGACAACATTCTGGCATTTCAGGTAAAGCTACCACCTGCAGGGCTGGCATCCCATACAAGCATCAGTTCAGTCCAGCTGCTCCCTACTAATGTCCTGGGAGAGCCGCAGATGAGCCAAGTCCTTGGGACCTCGCTACCTATGGTAAAGATCAGGATGCAGTTACAGGCTCCTGGCTTCAGAGTGGCCCAGCTCGAGCTCTTGTGACCATTTGGGGTATAAACCAGAGGGTATAAAATGTCTCTCTGGGGTCCAGTGCTGTGGGGTAGGGGGTAAAGCCACCACTGCAGTGCAAGGGCCCAAGGTGCCAGTTTGTACCCTGGCTACCCCACTTCCAATCCAGCTTTCCTGCTGTAGCCTGGGAAGGCAGTAGAAAATGGCCAGGTACTTCTACCCTGCACCCATGTGTAAGAACCAGAAGAACATCTGGCTCTGGCGTTCAGATATGCCCAGCTCTGACCATTGAGCCATTTGAGGAGGGAACCAGCAGCCAAGACCTGTCTCCACCCCTCCCCTCTCTCTCTGCTCTCTGTAACTGTCAATCAATCAAAAAGAAAGAAAAGTGGCCCTGATGAGGATGCAAACATTCTTAAAAAAATAAAGAAAATGTCTACTTTCCCCTCTCTCTGTAGCTTTGCCTTTCAAATAAATAAATAACCCTTTTAAAATAATATTATTCAGGACGGTGGCTGTGGCAACAGCAGGTTAAGGCCCTACCCTGAGTGTCAGCATCCAGATAGGGCACCAGTTCTAGCTCCACTTCCAATCCAGCTCTTTGCTATGGCCTGGAAAGCAGAAGATGGCTCCAAGTCTTTGAGCCCCTTGCACCCACATGGGAGACCTAGAAGAGGCTCCTAGCTCCTGATTTTGCATCAGCCCAGCTCTGGCTGTTATAGCCATTTGGGAGTGAACCAACGGATGTAAGGCCTCTCTCTCTCTGTCTCTACCTCTCTAGTCCAAATAAATAAAGATAAATCTGTAATAAAATAATATATTATTAATTCATCACATTTGAATAATGTTACATTAGATATAAGAAAAGAAAGGAATTTTGCAAATGCAGAAATAGTGTGCCTATCTCCACGAAAGGAGGTAGGGAGGAGAGAGGAGAAAAAGGAGCCGAATAAAAGATACAGGGTAACTACGATTTAGGAATCAGAGGTAGACATTTGGCCTAGAGGTTAAATGGTGGTTGGGGTTTGCCATGTCCCATATCTGAGTACTTGGTCCAACTTCCATCTTTGCCCTAGATTCCAGTTTCCTGCCAATGCAGAACCTAGGAAGCAGTGGGTAATTGGCTCAAATAATTTGGTCCTTGACATGCACTTTGGACAAGAATAAACAAAACAATTCTGCAAATTATAACTGGCCCGTGTTTCCTTCAAACCACCAAAAGCAGACAAGATAATAACTGAAAAATAGTACCATTTCTTGAGTGATAGGGACTCCTGCTAGATGCCATCCTGTAAGAGCTTTATTTTCTTTACTGTTAATAAATAATTGATCACAATTTAAGATATGCACTTCTTGTTACAAAGGTTAAAAAAAAAACACAAGCTCAGAGAGGATAAGTAATTTTCCCATATATACACAGCTTAGGGCTGCCACAGACCGGCTGTGGAGGTAAGTCTTTCTAAACCCAAAGGCAAATTTAACTGGCAACACTTGGCAGTTTTTTCCTGTTATTCAATAGCCTGAAGCTGGCTCGGCAGAAGCTGCGTGCTTATTTCAAAGGGAAAGATACAACATCAA